GCGCGGAACAAGAAGACCGCCGCGGCAGTCGCTGCTGCTGCTCTTTTTTGCAGCAGCAGCAGCGCTGCTGAACCTACATTACCCTTTGCACGGCAGCAGCAGCGATGGCAGCCCTGCTGCTGCGGGCTTCCCTCACTTCCTCCCAGTCGTCGCCGGGGATAATTTGAGGGGCTCAGACAGTGCAAGCTCAGCGAACAAAAGCAGCAGCAGCAGCAGCAATGACAGCAGTAGCAGCGGCAGCAGCAGTATAGGCTCGCCTGCAGGGGGCGACTCCCCTCCAGACTCCCCTCCTGCAACCCTAGCAGCAGATGCGGGTGCAACAGGTGCAGCAGCAGCAGCAGAAGAAGTACCAAAAGCAGCCGCAGCAGAGGCACCAGCAGGGGCAGCGGAGTCAGGCGCAGCAGAGGTAGCGGCAGCAGAGTCAGGCGCAGCAGAAGCAGGCGCTGCTGAAGCAACAGGAGCAGAAGCAGGCGCAGCAGAAGCAGCAGGAGTAGGCACAGCAGAAGCAGCAGAAGCAGGCGTAGTAGCAGAAGGAGGCGCAGCAGCGGAAGCAGAAGAGGTAGATGAAGCAAAAGAGTCTGCAGGTGGCTCTTCGGCGAGCCTTGAGGTGGAAGCTCTTTCTGGCAGTCTAGCAGCAGCAGCAGGTAGCGCAACAACTGCAGCAGCAGCAGATGCAGCACCAGCAGTGGCATCAGAAGCAGGTGCGCCGTCTTCTGCTGCATTGGAGTCAGGTGATTCTGCCGGCACAGCCGCAGGTTCTCCGTCGCCGGCAGCAGTAGCAACAGCTGCTGCAGCAGAGCCGGCATCAGCAGGGCCCTCGCCCGCGTCCCTAGCAGCAGGAGAAGCAGCCGCAGCAGCAGGCCCCCTGCCAGCAGCAGCAACAACCCCAGCGTCACCTTCCCCAGCATCGCCATCTCCATCCCCATCCTTAGCAGAAGCAGAAGGCTCCGAAGGAGGAGCCTCAGCAGCGCCGTCATCACCACCATCATCCTCAGCAGCAGCAGCAGGAGCAGCAGCAGCAGCTCCGCCGCCACTCCCGCCTCCCCCCCAGCAACCAGAAGCAGCAGCAGCAGCAGCAGCGGAGGAGCCCGTGCCCTGCCTGGTGCGCCGCCCCTACAGCGAACGGCGGGGAGGCTACTTGAAGGTCCCGCAGTCTTTTCTGGACCGCCGCAAAGAAGAGGCTCTTACTGAGGCGGAGCTCGAAAGGCAAATCGACAGGCTCTTCGCCGTGGACCCGGAGCAGATCGAAAGGCAAAGCGCCGCCATCGCCAGGTAGCTGCTGCTGCTGCTGCTGCTATTGCTGCTGCTGCTGCTGCTGCTTCTGCTGCTGCTGCTGACTGTGGGGCTGGTGGTAGTTGGAGGGAGGGTGGTAAGGGGGTACTGCCGCGTTGTAAGTTACTTGTTGTGGTGGTGCTGCTGTGGCTGCCGTTGCGGCCCGTGCTGCTGCTGCTGCTGCTGTTGCTACTGGTGGTGCTGCGCGCGTCGCCTGCTGCTGCTGCTGCAGATCTGTGGACGCTGCACGCAATCGCGGGCAGCCGAACGGGCGCATCATAATCGGGGTGGCGGACCTGCAGTCGGGCGACAAGGACTTCGACTTGCTGCTGCAGCGGCGCTCGGAAAGCAGCAGCGGCAGCAGCAGCAGCAGCGGGAGGGACGGCCGCAGCATCAGCACGCGGGCGGAGGCGGAGGCGATGGGCAAGGCAGCAATCAACGCGGAGGAGCTGCAGCAGCAGCAGCTGGTGGGAGATGTGAAAGTGCTGCCAGAAGTGGGGCTTGTTGTGGTGGACTTCAGCCCCGAGTCTTCAGAAGCTCAAATTCGAGAAACTGTAAAACGCATTTGGTTGCGTTCGCCGGCCACTTGGCTGATTGAGGCGGACTCGGAGGTGAAGATTAGGGGGCTGGATGAGGAGCCAGCAGCACCAGCAGCAGCAGCAGCAGCAGCTCACACAGCAGCAGATGAGACGCGCACTTTCAGAGGGCCCTTTCGAGTAGACAGGGAGCCCCGCAGGATGCTCATGGCTGCAGAAGAGCTTTACGCAAACCCCAGCATCGGAAGCAGCAGCCCCAGCAGCGCCAGCAGCAACGACAGCAGCCCCAGCACCCACAGCGGCCCCAGCAGCAGCAGCAAGACCAAGCAGCAGCAGCAGCAGCAGCAGCGCCTGGACAAGGCTACAGCACGGAAGCAGAAGCAGCAGGATATCAAAGCCCTCCAAGCAGACACCAAGGCAGCGACAAAGAAAGAGAGGTCCAGCATCACCAGCAAGCAGCAGCAGCAGCAGCAGGCGCGCTCCCCGAAGGCCAAGCCCGTCAAGGAGACCCCTCAGCAGAAGCAGCACAAGCTGAAGGCGCAGCAGCAGCAGGACAAGCCCTCAAGCGACAAGCAGGCGCAGCAGCAGCAGCAGCGAACTCGCTCGCCGAAGCAGCAAAAGTCGACCAAGCTGAAGGCGCAGCAGCGCGAAGAAGACAGCCGCTCCAGCCCCTCTGCTGCTGCTCTTCCTTCTTCTGCTGCTGCTCTCAGCCCAGAACCCCTCAAGGAAGCTTACCTGCAGCAGCTGCAGCTGCCGAAAGCAGTTGTTGCTACTCCGGAGCAAATGGACTTTGGCGGGAACGTGAGGCGGCTCGACACAGCAGCAGCTACCGAAGAAGCAGCAGCAGCAGCAGCAGCAGGTAAGACTGGCCTGCCGGAAGCAGCCGCATCAGCAGCAGCAGGGCTGGACGCGCCAGAAGCAGCCGCAGCAGCGGCAACTTCGGTGGAAGAGGGAGCAGCAGCAGCAGCGTCGGAGAAAGAAGAAGAGCTTTTTTTTCCCTTTCCGCGGGCAGCAGCAGCAGCAGCAGCTGCTGCTGCTGCTGAGGAGGAAGAAAACGAAGAAATGTTAGAGCAGCGAGAAGCATTCCTCGCCTCCGAAGAAGCAACTCCTAATGATATTCTCTTCAGCCGCCAGTGGGCGCTGCATAACAGAACTTTGGGCTGCAGAATGACTGAGGCGTGGAGGCTGGTGTACCGGCGCCGGCAGCGGCAGCGGGAAGCAGCAGCAGCAGCAGCAGCAGCAGCAACAGACCCCGCAGCACACCCACCTGCAGCAAGGTCCTCCCCAGAACCCATCACTGTTGCTGTCATCGACACAGGCGTCGACTATACCCATGAAGACCTCAAAGGCAGACTCTGGAAGAACACTGGAGAGATCCCCAACAACGGCATTGACGATGACGGTCAGTCCTGCTGCTGCTGCTGCATCTGCTGCTGTTGCTGTCGCTGTTGCTGCTGCTGTTGTTGCTGCTGCTGCCACTGCTGCTGCTGCTGTTGCGGCGGTTGCTGCTGCCGCTGTTGCGGCTGTTCCTGGTGCTGCGGCTGTTGCGGCTGCTGCTGTCACTGCTCGTGCTGGCGCTCTGCTGCTACTTCTTGGGGAGGGGCAGCTGCGGGCCGCCGTGCTGCGCTGGAGATGCTGCTGCTGCTCGTGGCGGCGGCGCGGTCTTGCTGTTGCTGCTGCTGCAGAGCAGCAGCATGGGGCCCAGTGCCAGCCCCAGCAGTGCCTGCAGCAGGAACAGCAGCAGCAGCCTGCCGCCGCATGCGCCCATGTGCTGCTTGTGCTGCTGCGGCCGCTCCTGCTGCACCTGCTGCAGCATTTGCACACTTCATTCTTTCCCACATGCTGCGCCTGCTGCTCCAGCTGCAGCTGCTGCGCCTGCTGCAGCTTTTCCGCACTTTACTCTTCCCCTGCGCTGTGCCTGCCTCGCCTGCCGCCCCTGCTGTGTGCGCCGCGTGCGCCGCGGGTGCTGCTGCTGCAGCGCTGCTTCTGCTGCTGCTGCTGCTTGCTGCTGCTGCAGGCAACGGCTACGTGGACGACTACCACGGCTACGACTTCGAACGCGGCAGCGCAGACCCCATGGACGAGCACGGCCACGGCACCCACGTGGCTGGCATAGTGGCAGCTTCGGCGAACAACGGCATTGGCATTGCAGGTCTGCAGCCCAGCTAGCCGCTGGCTAGCTGCCCAGCTAGCCGTTGGCTAGCTGCCCAGCTGGCCGCTGGCCAGCTAGCCAGCTGGCAGCTCGCCCTCTGGCCTGCCTAGATAGCGAGACAGATGCCTACACAGCTAGGTACCTAGCTACTTGTACAAATGGCTGACTAGATACCTAGCTAGCTAGCTAGCTAGCTGCCTGCTCACCTAGATAGGCAGCTCGCTGACTAGCTACTTAGACAGCTAGTTGGTTAGGTGCCTAGATAGATATCTAGCTAGCAAGCTAGATAGGCGGACACTAAGCTAAGTAGCTGGCGAGCTGGGCTGCAGCTGCGCGTAGGGCAAGTGGCTAGCTAGCGGGGTGGTGGGCAGCGAGCTGGCTGGCGGGGGGCTAGCTGGGGCTGCTGCAAGCTGCGTGAGTAACTAGCAAGCTGCATATGTAGCTAGCTGCTGCCAGCCTCATGTGTAGCCAGCTGCTGCTATTTGCATGCGTAGCTAGCTGCTGCCAGCTGCATGCGTAGCTAGCTGTAGGCACAGCCAGAGGAGCTTCTGCTGCTAGCCATACAAATAGCGCTGCAGCCGTTGCGGTAGTGTGGGCATTGGCGAGCTTTTGCACTTTCCCGAGGGGCCCTTTACTTGTTTTCATTCCTTCCATGCATGTTTGTTTGTTCCTTTTAATGGGATCTTTGCTTGAAAGGGTTTCTTTTCTAGCTTTTAATGACAAGCTTGTTGCTGTTTAAATGCATTTGCCTGCTGCTCCTTGCCTCCGCATCTGTGTGAGTCCGCTGCTGGACCGGAGAAGAAGGGGCGCAGCAGCAGAGCCGGGGCGCAGCAGCAGGCGCAAGCAGGTTGTAGCGCGCAGAGTTCTGCTGCTGCTGCTGCTGCCACAGCCGGGTTCAGAGGCATGCTCCTGATACTGCATTTCTGCTGTTGCTGCTGCGGCTGCGGTTTGCGGGTTCTGCTGGCTTCTCTGCCTCTACCCTTCGACAGCTGGCCCGACGTTAGGCGCTGCTGCTGTTGCTGCTGCTGCTGCTGCTGCAGGCGCGAACTGGCGAGTGAAGCTGATGCCTCTGAAGTTTGAAAAACGCAGCAGCGCCGCGGTGGAGGCCATTGCCTATTCGCTGCAAATGGGGGCGAAGATCAGCACTAACTCCTGGGGCTTTTCTTTCAGATCCGAAGCCCTCAGACTGGCCCTCGAGCAGGCCGAGGCCAAGGGCCAGCTTTTCGTTGCTGCAGTCGACAATGCGGGCGCAGACAACACCACGTACGCGGGCCACGCCGCCCTACTGCTGCTGCTGCTGCTGCTGCTGTTGTGCTTTTGGTGCGCTGTTGCTGCTTCTGCTTCTGCGGATTCTGATGGCGCTGGTGCTGCTGCGGCTTCTCGTCAGTGCTGCTGCTGCTGCTGCTCGTGTGGGTTCTTATGGTGCTACTGTCATTGCTGCTGCTGCTGCTGCTGGTCATGCGGGTTCTAACGGCGCTGCTGCTGCTTTGCGCCAGTACTGCTGGTGCTGCTGCTTTCCGTGGTACTGTCGCCGCTCTTGAGGTGTCTTTTCAAGCATGCACGGGCTGCTGCAGCAGCTGTCTTTATCGCTCACGCCCCTATCCTTGCCGCTGCTCCGTTGTGCTGTCACCGCTGCTGCTGTTGCTGCTGCTGCTACATTTAGGGCTAAGGATTTCCCCCCTAACTGGGGCTACGACTGGCGCACTGGCCGAGGCTTTAAGAACATGCTGAGGGTTGCCAATCTCGCGCCGACGGGCAAACTCTCTACTTCCTCCAACTATGGTATGCAGCAGCAGTGCAGCAGCAGCTGGCGCTGCGGCGCTTTCTGCCGCTGCTGCTGCTGTTCGTCTTACTGCTGCTGTGTTGTTGCCGCCGCTCTTTTGCCGCTGCCTTCTTGCGTCACCGCTGCTGATGCTGCTATCGGGCAGCTATATCCCCTGCGCGTCGCCTGCCGCGGCCGCCACCACCACCACAGGAGCAGCAGCAGCAGCAGCAGTAGCAGCAGCAGCAGCCTGCGGTGAGTGCCTCAGGAAAGTACAACGTGGACTTGGCTGCCCCGGGCACTGATATCATATCGACTTTGCCTGCGAGGCAATTCGGCGATAAGTATGGCTACAAGAGCGGCACTTCTATGGCGACTCCTCTCGTTGCAGGTACTTTTGAGCATTTTATTTCGTTTACTTCTTTTTATTTATTCTATTTTCGCCTTCTTTTCCCCATTTGCTCTTTGAGAAGCTGCCTTTTGCCGAATGATTCAACTTTTTTGCTGCTTTCCCGATTTTTTCTGCCCTCTTCTTTTTGCACGAGCCCATTGCCTCTGGGGGCCCCAGCTCCAGCCTCTGCTGCTGGGCCGCCCCTGACCCCTTGAGCCCCCGCAGCAGCTGCAGCAGCTGCAGCGGCAGCAGCAGCTGCAGCAGCTACTGCGGAAACCTTAGGCTCTTCGGCTCTTTCACGTGGCGTTGCTTTTGCTGCTGCCGGCTAGCCTCTGTTCTGGCCGTCGGGGCCAGCTGTTCTTCTTGTCTGCTTCATTGTTGTTGCTGCTGTTGATGTTCTATTTGTATCCGCTCTTGGATGTCTCTACATGCTTCTCCCTTTTTCATATATAGTGTATAATATAGATAAACATATATATATATATACACACACATATGTATAAGTATATATATATATATAAATTTACTATATATATAGTAAGCCCGAGAGCCCGCCAAGCCGCGGATGTCGCTTGTGTGTGGCTGCCTTTGCTGCTGCTGCTGCTGCTGCTGCTGCTGCTGCGCAGGCATTGCGGCGCTGGTGTGGGCTGAACGGCCCAGCCTGACGGCCGCGGAAGTACGAGACGTGCTGCTGTCGACAGCAGCGCCGCTGCCGCCGCTGAAAGCTGCTGTGGCCAGTGGGGGCACTGTGGACGCACATGCAGCTGTGGAGCTGGTGCATGCGTTGAACCAGCGGGACTTGGGGCTGGAGGCGCCGCAGGCTGCTGCCTTTGCCCACTGGCAGCAGCAGCAGCAGCAGCAGCAGATGCAGCTGCTTCAGACGTCCGCACCCGTCCCGTCCGCCAACGCCGGCGACGCGGCCGCAGCAGCAGCCACTACTGGCCAAATGGCACCCACGATACCCTCTCCCGCTACTGCTGCCGCTGCTGCTGCTGGGCAAATGACGACAGACGGGTATGGGTACGACGCAGCAGCAGCAGCGGCAGCAGGAGCAGCGCCGGGAAGCGGCTACGTCTATAACGTCGTGATCCCCTCTCAGCCCGTTGGCGGTTCCGAGAGCGCACCCCTGCCGTCGTCAGCCGATACGAGCAGCAGCAGCAGCAGCAGCAGCAGCAACAGCAGCAACAGCAGCTACGAAAACAGCAAGGGATCCACAAGCGCCGCGAGCTCTCCCATTAGCTTCTTCTCGAGGCTACTGGACCCATTCGCTCTCATCGCCCGATTTGTAAGAATAGACACAGATCTGGCACGCAACAACTAGCAGCACAGCAGCAGCAGCAGCAACAGCGGCAGCAGCCAGCCACACCAAGTCAAGCCCCACATGACACCAGCACAAGCAATAGCAGCTGCATCAACACCGACACCGGCACCTTCCACCGCTTCTGAAGCCTCACCACCACCCACAAGCAAAGTGCAGCCGCGGCAGCAGCAGCAGCAGCAGCAGCAGCAAATCCGTGGCCTCAGCGCTCCCAATCAGGCGCAGCCTCCGTGCGCGTCACTCTCTGTGCGGCTCGCCCTCGCCCATGCTCAGGAAACAGTTGCTGCGTGTCCTAAGGCTTATCTAGAGCTAGAAAGTTGCAGCTTCTGCAAAAAGCAATTATTTAAACAGCACGAAGTGCAGCACAAAGAAGACGCCCACATTTAAGCAGCACTTGCCTTCCAAAGCACTGCCTGGACGCGTCTTCCAGCACCAGTTCAGTCCCACCAGCAGCAGCAGCAGCAGCAGCAGCAGCAGCAAAGTCAGCCAAATGCCATAACACCGTTGCACCCCAGCGAACCACAAACTGGGGCCCCACACTGCCAGCGGGGCGCCCGGTGCCCCCCATCGCGGGGCCCCACATGGAGCCCTAAGGAGGCTCTCCAGCCACTGTGCCTTCAAAGGCAGGCAGGCTGGAGGGCTTGGGGCCCTGGGGCTGCTGCAGCAGCAGGCTGCAGCAGCAGGCTGCAGCAGCAGGCTGCAGCAGCAGGCTGCAGCAGCAGGCTGCAGCAGCAGGCTGCAGCAGCAGCAGCAGCAGCAGCAGCAGACCCAGGGCTCCTGCCCAGTAGTTCGTGTTTGCTGCTGCGCGTTTGCTCATGTTTGCTGCGGTGATGCTGTTTCTGCTCTCCTCCTGCCTAGTCGCCTCTGTGCGTCCTGCGCCTCTCTTGACTTATCTCTGGGTATCTAACTATGTGTGTCTGCCTGCTGTGGCTGCTGCTGCTGCTGCTGCTGCTGCTGCGACCCCCCGGGCCCCCTATGATGCACCTGCTTCACGGCGCACTGCCGCCACTCCACTAGTTAAGTGCAGCTGCACTGCCACGAAGTTCAGAAGCAGCATTAGATAGCAACACAACCTGCTGCACAGGCTCCCACGCAGCAAACCCCAAAAAATGAATCTGCGTCTGTTTTTCTGCTGCTGCTGCTGCTGCTGCTCAGCAGCAATCAGGAACCGCCTGCAGCAGGACCACAGGCGCTGTCTGCTGGCTGTGAGGCCACCCGCAGCAGCAGGACAAGCCAAAGAAGCAGCAGGAGCCAAAGCTCGCACGCAGCGCAAACGGTGACAGCAAACAGCCTCAGCAGCCAACACCCTCGCTGCTGCTGCTGCTGCTGCTGCTGCGGCTTCTTCGGATCGGCATGCGTGCGAGCTGCGTTACAAGCACGGTCGCGACGGCAGCTGCTGTTGCCACAGCGGCAGCAGCAGCAGCAGCAGCAGAGCCTCTTCCCCCTGCCGTGCAAAAAAGCACGCAGGGGAGCCGAAGCAAAACGCAGCAACGGCTAACTGGAGAGCACAAAGACTGCAGCAGCAGCAGGCCACTGCTGCAGCTACCAACCCAAGACAAGAATCTAGTGCATCTGCATCAGCAACGCTGCCGCTGCAGCAACGCAGCAACAGTAGCACCGCTGCTGCTGCAGCAACGCAGCAACAGCAGGCAGTGGAGCGCGCAGCCCCGGAACAAAGTCGACGGCCAGCTCCCTCCCCTTCGCGAGCCGCACGTCAGATCAGACTCCTAAATATAGAGCTAGCTAGCTAGCTAGCCAACTAACTCGCCAGGTAGTTATCTAGCTATCTAGCTGGCTAGCCAGCTAGCTAGCCAGCTAGCTAGTCAGCTAGCTAGCCAGCTAGGTAGTTGGCCAGCTAGCTAGCTAGCTAGCCAGCTAGGTAGCTTGGTAGCTGGCTAGCTAGCTACTCAGTTGGCCATGCGACCAGCCAGCTGGTTCCCAAGAACAAGAGTAGCTAGCCAGTCAGCTAGCTAGCTGGCCAGGCAAGAGCACTGGCATTAAAAATCGGCGAGAATTTAACAAACGGCTCTTCTAACGTCGAAAATAAAGCACTTTCCTGTTGCTGATGCTTTATGATCGCCGTTGCTGCTGCTGCCGCCTCCGCAGTAGTCCGTGAATTCCCCCTGCTGCTGTTTTCTCTGCTGCTGCTGCTGCTGTGCAGAGGCCGCCTTTTAGTCCTGCGGGGCAACGCCGCACAGCACAGCAAGCACACTTCCCTTGTCCTAGCCACTAGCAGCACAGGTGGCAGCAACAGCAGCAACAAAAGCAGCACCAACAGCAACAAAAGCAGCAGCAACGGCAACAGCAGCAGCAACAGCAACCACCTGCTGCTTCGGCGACTTCGGGCTCTTGCGGGGATTGTCGCTGTCCTCCCCACTGCTGTCGCTGCTATCTCTCTCCCTCTTGCGCTTTCTGCTGCTGCTGCTGCTGGTTGCTGCTTCATCTTTTTTCCCCTTTTTCTGAAGTTTCTTGAGGCGCTTGGCCTCTTTTTTTGCTGCCTTTTTTGCTGCCTTTTGCTGCCGCTTCGCTTCTTTCTTTTGCTGCTTCTGCTGCTTCTTCCGCTCGGCCACTGCAGCACGAATGGTGGAGTCCATCATGAAAAAAGGCAGCTCCTCCTCCTGCTCATTTTCGCTGCTGCTGCTGCTGCTGCTACTGCTGCTGCTGCTGCTGCTGCTGCGGTGGCTGTGCTTGCTCGTGCGGCGGCGCTTCTTGTGGTGATGGTGGCTCTTCTTCTTGCCCCCGCTTCGGCTGCTGCTGCTGCGCTGTTCTGCTGCAGCAACAGAGGCCAGGGGCTTTACCCCCGCTAAGGCAGACACACCACCTGCAGCAGCAGCGGCAGCAGCAGAAGCAAGTCTCCGGAAGCAGTGCGCATGCAGTGCCCGTTGGAGCTGCTGCCGCTGCTATTACAGCGAAAGTGCAGCAGCAGCACAGGCAGCAGCAGCAGAAGCTGCAGCAGCAGCTGCTACTGCGAATGGCCACGGCCTACCTCTTGTGTCTGGCATCAGTGCTACAAAGATTTCCTCTTCTACGGCAGCAGCAGCAGCAACAGCAGCAGCCGCAGTGGGGTAGCCCACACCTGCTGCCCACGACCCAAGAATGAAACTGCCCCCAATGGCTTCTTGCTGCTGCGGCGCAGCTGCTGCAGCACCAGAAGTAACTAACGGCAGCAGCCTCTAGCAGCAGCAACACGCAAGCTCGCCCTGAAGACTTGGCAGCCGCAGTCCGCTGCTGCTGCTGTCGGCGCTGTGTTGCTGCACAGGGTGTGAAGCTGCGATCCACTCTGTTGCAGCTGTGGCCGACGCGACTGCAGCAGCCGCAGGAGTAACAGCAGCAGCGGCAACAGTAGCAGCGGCAGCGGGGGTTCCTGCGGCGGCGGCGCACCGCGAGAGTCAAATGGCAATTTCGCCGCTAGAGAATGTGTTGCTGTGAGCTGGACACTTGAAACTGCACAGCGGCTGCAGCAGCTGCTGCCGTTCCCGTTCTCGCTGCTGTTGTTGCTGCAGCGTTCTTGTTACTGCTGCAGCAGCTCCCCGAACTCGCTGCTGGACTAAAATGTCGCTCGTGTTTTCCTTCACAGTCTCGTGAGACTTTACCCATACTGTATGCATGCATGCAAAGGAGCATGCGTCCGCCACCGCCATCGCAGCAGCAGCAGCAGCAGGCAGAGCGCAGCCAGCAACAGCAGCAGCAGCAGCCTCAGCGGCAACGACCCCACCACCCCCCAGCAAGTTCCACCGAATTGCAACAATATGATTTTTGCGCTCATACTCATTACTGATTTTTACCGTGTGCCCGCTCTTCGAAGGCCTCACAGCAACTTAAGCTGCTGTAACCCTTACCAGACGCGGTTTGCTGCTGCTGCTGCTGGTGCTGCTGCTGCTGTTGCCCCTGCGTGAGGCTGCCTTCCGTCTCAGATCAGAACAATAGTCTCATTCGCTGCTTCTTTACGTCATGCTGCACTCAGCTTGAGGGGCTTGGCCAATTCTGGGCTGCTGCCTCTGCCGCTTCCCCTGGTGCTGCTGCCACAACCAGACAGCAAGTCGGCAGCAGCAACACAAGAGCAACGCACGCATTAAGATCACGCCCTTAGCAGCAGGAATAACACCATAATCGGCAGCTGCCAGCGACCTGGTCACAGCAGAAACGGCGGCGACGGAAGCAGCAGCAGCGGCAGGAGCAGCGGCCTCCGCAATAGCATCAAGGCCGATGGCGCTGCTGCGGTTGCTGCTCTTCAGCAGGCCAGCGCAAGAAGAGCGCCTTTGCTGCTGCTCTCGCTGTGCACCATTAACGCCACTATATGGGTCAGACAGCAGCAGCAGCAGCAGCAGCAGCACCTCATGAAGGTCTGCAGCTGTAGAGCTGATGCAGCAGTGCGTAAAACTGCAGCAGCAGCTGCAGGTTGGTTCCTCCATGGAGGATACGCGAACGCCAATATCCAGCATCTGCAATGGAAACAGTAGCAGCAGCAGCAACTGCAGCGGCGATAGCAGCAGCGGCGGCAACGGCAGCAGCAGCACCAGCAGCAGCAAGGGTGCAGGGACCCCACGCACTTTGCGCTGTGCAGAAGCTGCTGCTGCTATGGGCCTGCTGCCGAAGGGCCTAAACCAGCAGCAGCAGCAGCAGCAGCAGCAAAACGGTTTCTCTCCAACTGCCAGCACGGGATCCCATATAGCGCCTTCACCTTTTATGCAGCGGCCCTCCGAGCAGAAGCCTCAACTGCAGCAGCAGCAGCAGCGGCAGGCTTACAGGATATCCTGCGCCTCTGAGGAAAGTGCAGCGCCGGCAAGGCGGCAGCAGCAGCAGCTGCCACAGCAGCAGCAGCAGCCATGGCCGCTGCAGCAACAGCAGCAGGCGCAGCAACACGGCAATTCTAGCAGTGCCCTGGAAGCATCTCGGTATTTCCAGCAGCAATCTCTTCAGCAGCAGCCACCTCAGCAGCAGCAGCAGCAGCAACAGCAGCAGCAGCAGCAGACATCATCAGTCCAGTCGAGGAACCCTCCTCTTGCACTGCTTGACGCCGTCGCCCGCCACCACCAGCAACACAACAGCAGCAGCAGCAGCAACAACAACAGAAATTTTTGGGGGGCTGGACTTTGCAGCAGCAGCGGCAGCAGCGTCTTGCGGGGCCTTAACTCGGAAGTGCAGCAGCAGCAGCGGCAAGGCAGTCCGCTGCGTGAGAATGTGTTCCCCCAGCAGCAGAAGCAGCAGTGGCCATTCGCACAGCAGAAACAGGTGCAGCAGCCGCTGCAGCAGCTGCAGCAGCTACAGAACGGGCTGCAGCAACAGCGCCTGCAGCAGCAGCAGCCGCGCGTCTGGCAGCAAACATTAACGGCTGCGCAGGCTCAGTGGGCGAAGCCTCGGAGGGTATGGAGCACCTACAGCATGCAGCAAAGCACCAACAGCTGCAGCAACAGCAGCAGCGACAGCAGTGGCAGCATTGGCAGCAGCAGCAGCAGCAGCAGCGCCAGCAGTGGCAGCTTCACAGGACCTGCGCTGCGCTGCGCGGACCCGTCGACACCCCCTGCTCCCCACCGGCGGCAGCAGCAGCAGCAGCCGCAGCGGTACTCCGTCCAGCAGCAGTGCCACCGGCAACAGCAATACTCAGCCTGGCAGCAGCAGCAGCAGCAACAGCGGCTGCTGCAGCAGCAGCGGTTTCCACGGGCAGCGGCGACACCGCAGAGGCTCTCAACAGACCCTGCAGCATCTACTGTGCAGCAGCAGCAGCAGCAGGGCTTGCGAGCGCTGCAACAGCAACCTCTGCAGCAGCAGCAATACAGCCGCCAAGCACAGCAAGTCAATCCCCTGCAGCAGTGCGGACAGCAGCAGCAGCCACAGCAGCAGCAGCAACCGCCACCGCAGCAGCCAGAGCAGCAGCAGGACTACTCGTGGCTTCGCGTGGAGTGGGGAGAAGACATACTCGACTTGCTTGATGCAGCAAACGCAGAGGTAATGTTGCTGCTGTTGGTGCTGCTGCTGCCACTCCAAGTTCTCGTTGCGGGCGACTTGTCATTTCTGTTGCTGCTGCTGCTGCTACTGCTGCTGATGGGTGGAGGGCGCCTGCTGCTATTTGCCGTGCTGCTGCAGGACTTTGCGAGCAGCAGCAGTGGGGAGCCGGCTGCAGCAGCAGCAGCTGCTGCCCCGGGTGCTGCAGCATCTGCAGCGCCAGCTGCTGGAAATGCGACTGCACACGCAGCAGGCGCTTCCTTGGGAGGTGCTGCTGCTGCCCGTAGGCTTAGCGGCAACAGCAGCAGCAGCAGCAGTAGGAGAGCAGCAGGCTGGGGCTCTGCTGCTGCTGCTGTGCTGCGGGTAGACCTACGCGACGAGCTGTGCGTCATATGCTCAGAGCTGCTGCTGCAGCAGCAGGAGATCGCCTCACTTCCCACCTGCTGCCACCTTTTTTGCTTCGCCTGCTTATACAAGTAAGCTTGTTGCTGCTGCTGCTGTGGCTGCTGTACTATTGCCGTCTCACACAATTGCGTACTTTTGCTGCTGCTGCTGCTGCTGCAGATGGGCGTCGATCAGCAGCAGGTGCCCGCTATGTTCTACAGCATTCACTACCATTGTTCGCCGGCGGGTCAGTGCAGCAGCAGCAGCAGCTGCTGCTGCTGCTGCTGCAGCTGCTGCCAGCAGCGGCAGCAACGGCAAAGCTACAACACAAGAAACCCTTGGGACCGCTGCAAAGAAGGACCCCAGCAATGCTGCAGTCAAGAGTGAGCAGCAGCAGCAGCAACAGCAGCAGCAGCAGCCGGGCGGCGCCTCGCTGGGTATTGTCGCCGCTTGCCAGCCCAAGCCGGGAGGCAGCAGTGCCGAAGGCGCAGCTCCAGCAGCAGCAGCAGCAGGAGCTGAGCCTACAGCAGCAGCAGCTGCTGCAGCAGGGGATGGCTGCTTGATAGGCCTGCAGCTAGTGGAAGAGGTGCCGCTGCCGCCCCCACAGCCGCGGCGTCGGGGATCGGGATCGGGATCGGGATCGTTGGGATCGGATGGGGGGTGCGAAGTTTGCGGCCGCGACGATGACTGGAGCTGTTTGCTGCTGTGCGATGAGTGCGACGGTGCCTTTCACACTTACTGCCTTTCCCCGCCGCTTGCTGCAGTGCCTGAGGGGGAATGGCGCTGCAGCAGGTGCCAGCAGCAAAGAGATGCGCGCCAGCAGCAGCGCCAGCAGCAGCCGCAGCAGCGCAGGCAGCAGCGCAGGCTCAGGCGGCAGCAGCAGACAAACACGAGGCAGCAAAGCTCCAGGCGGCCGCGCAGCAGCAGCAGCAGCAGCGCTGCGCAGGCGGCCCCCGCGCCTGGAGCAAGACCCAGGAAAAAGGTCAAAAAGGCTGTAGGTGAACGGGCTGCTGCTGCGGCTACTGGTACCAGCAGCAGCAGCAGCAGCAGCAGCATTGCACACGTGGATTTCGAGGTGTTTGCGCACAACAGCAACTCCAGGCCCAGCGCTGCTGCGCGGGGTAGGAGGGTTACTCGCAGCAGCAGCAACAGCAGCAACAACAGCAACAGCAGCAGCAGCAGCAGCAGCAACTGCCGCAGAACCCCCGTGCGCGCTGCACGTCGCTTGCGAACTGTGAGAAGACAACGAAGGCCTTCGGTCAGCGCTACAGAGAGCTGCAGCGACGACTCCTCTGACTTGCGCGACTTCATTGTGCGCAGCAGCAGCAGCAGCAGCAGCAGCGGCAGTAACACTGGCAGCAGCAGCAGCAGCAGCAGCAGTAGCAGTAGTGACAGCGATGGCAGCGACAGCAGCGATGTGACTTCTCCCAGCCGGAGTCTCGCGGCAAACCGCAACAGCGGAAGAAGCAGCAAGAGCACTAGCCGCAACAGTGGCAGGAACAGCGGCAGCAGCAGCAGCAGCAGCAGCAACGACCGGAACAGCAGTACTGAAGCTGGCCTTAGAATTCTGGGGACACCCGTAGAGAGAAGTCACCAACAGCAGCAGCAGCAGCAGGAACAGGAACGAAAACAATCTGAGCGAGTCTCACCCATGCTGGGACCCTCAAGGGGCGCTGCAGCGCCAGCATCGAACGCCCATGCCGCCCAAAGTCCACTGCAGCAGCAGCAGCAGCAGCAGCAGCGCCAGCTGAGACAGGTAAATTCGCCGCAGCAGCGGCGGGGCACTGCAGTTCGAAACCACGGCGGCGTGCAGGCTCTGCTTTGCCGCTATTTTGTCAGCCCAGCAGCCCGAAACGGGGCAGCCAGAAGCAGCAGCAGCGGTAGCAGCAGCAGCATCAGCAACAGCAACAGCAGCAGCAGCAGCAGCAGCGGCAGCAGCAGCAGCAGAAGTGTGGCACGATAGGGGTGCAAGTGGGGCCCCTACTACCAACCTTATGGCCATGTGAGGCCTTAAGTGCCCCCAGGGCCCTACGGGGGCCCCTGTGGGTACTGGGGGGCCCCCTGGAGCCTCCACTGAAGCGGACATTTGCTTCTGGCGCTATTTTAGCGGAAAATGAATTTTGGGTGCTTTCAATTCTTGTCTTTGGCGCTGCTGCTGACAGGTCGTGCTGCTGTAGTTCTTGCTGCTGTTGCTGCTGCTGTTGCTGCCGAAAAATCGGTGCTACTGATGCAGCTGCTGCTGCCCTGTCAACCGCCAGTGCTGCCGGTGTGTTGCACCTTGCTGCTTTGCTGCGGCAAGCGGCAGCGAAGAGATAGAGGCGAGCGCACAAAATAGACCTCAAACTATGAATTTAAAACACTGACAAACAAAGTCAAACAAAACAAGAGAGAGAACTCCGAGACCGGGAATTGAACCCGGGTCTTCCGCGTGACAGGCGGAAATACTAGCCACTATACTATCTCGGACTCGACAAGCTAGTGAACTCCTACTCCAACAATTCTAAATAGCTACTCTTTTTCCTTTTTTTAATTTAATTTTTAAAATCGCTAACACATTGTCTTTTCTAACTCAAATTGGTTCTTTGAATCTGCAGATGGAGGCGTGAATTCTGTCTACGAGGGTCCCCCGCTTGGCGGGCATCGACGGAGTTGTAGGGGCATTACAGACTCAGCCCCAAAGCCAGGAAGCAAAACTGCCATTTTGTGCTTTTTTAAATTCAACTTAACAAATTTAAATTCATCTTCTGCAGATTGATGGAGCCTGGGAAATGTACAAGGCCTCCCGGCGCCACGACGGCGCCGGTGGCGTTGATTGCCGTCGGTGACTCTGGGTGTAGGCTCATGAGCAGGCAGTCGAAACAGCTCGTTGCTGCCTTTCTGCAGACTCTCTGTACTTAAGAAATAGTAATTTATTAAAAGGTTTTCTACTAAAGAAGGTGAACGCCTAAGGAAAGCCTGTGCTGTGGAGTTGACTGTGTGGGACACCTAGGGCCTCCACGGGCTGGGGGCCCCCAGAGGTGTGGCTGTGCGCAGGGGCTTTCTTCTTTGCCTATTTGTAAGCTTCTTAGGAGGGCATTTCATTTGATTTGTTTGAAATTTGTCTTCTTAGCTCTTGCCTCATTAAGTCCCGAGCTGCCCGTGCACTCCGGCGAGCCGAGCCCAACGCTTCAAAGGCTGCGGAGCGACTGGGCCCCACCTCCTGTTCCTCGTTCTGTCTTCTACCTTTTTCCATCTATTTTCTCGGTTTTTTGTTTAAATTAATATTTTTTGAGCGCTTCAGTTTATTCTTCCGGACTAAACGTCTTCTTCTGGCCTGCGCAGGAGGTGCCGGTTTGCTGCTCTGCGGGGGCGATGGGCACGCCAATGGAGTGTATGCAGTCTTGAGCACTTTTTAATTTTAAACACAAGAAGAGTGCCTTAAGGCACACAAGCATAATAATACAGTTTTATCGGATCTGGTTTTCTCTTCGCTGCCGAAATGGCTGCGCAGCAGCCGCTGCAGGTGCTGGAGCTCTACAGCGGCATTGGGGGCATGCACTGCGGCCTCCTGCATGCCCAGAAACTGAGGCTCTTCAGGTCCAGACACAATTTGAAGCTCAACTGCTGCTGCTGCGGGGCCCCGCTGCCGGCCCCGGCCCCGAAAACCAGCCCCAGAAGCGGCTCTGCGAAGAAAGCAGCAGCAGCAGCAGCAGCAGCTGCAGCGGGCTGCTGCTGCCTCAAGGGCATTCCTGCCCCAGGCAGCAGCGGCTCTGCGCCGCTGGACTGCTACGAAGGACTCACTGCCCAAAACATCCCTCTTGACGGCAGCAGCTACTGCGTGCATCCCCTGCTAGACCAACAGCCCCACACAACAGCAGCAGCAGCAGCAACAGCCGAAGCTGCTGCACCACACAGCAGCAGCAGCAGCGGGGGGCTTCCCTTCCAGGTGGTTGCAGCCGTGGACATCAGCGACTCCGCATGCGCTGTGTACCGCGGGAACTTCTGCCGCGCTCCGCAGCAGCAGCAACAGCAGCGGCCAGAACAAGCTGCTGCTGCTGCTGCTGCTGCTGCTGCTGCTGAGGGGGGGCCCCCCAAGTGCCTCAGCGCAGACATTGGCCGGCTGCCCCTGTCCTTCTTCCAGCTGCTGCGGGGGCCCCTGTGGCTGCTGGCTCCGCCGTGCCAGCCATTTGCCCGTCGGGGGCTAAAGGCAGACTGTGGGGACTTGCGCTGCAGCAGTTTGCTGCAGCTGCTGCAGGTGCTGCAGCAGCTGCCTCCGGAGGCGGCGCCGCGCTTCCTGCTGCTGGAGAACGTCGCCGGCTTCGAGCGCAGCAACGCCTGCGAGCTGCTGCTGCAGACCCTCATAGATAAGCTAAACTATGAAACTGTCTTTTTGCTGCTGCTCAATCCCATACACTTCGGTCTCCCCAACTGCCGCAGCAGATGCTTCCTCTTGGCGAGAAAGGCTCACCCGTCGGACGGGCAGTACGCGCGTTGGCTGCGGGACGCGGCGCCTTACACAGCAGCAGCAGCAGCATCTGCTGCTGCTGCTGCTCCCGCTGCAGCAGCTGCTGCTGCCGGCAGCGGCAGGAGGCCAGTGCCGCTGGACCGGATCCCAGGGCTCTACTCCTCACAGGCGTTTTACTGCTGCCCCATTTGGCCCCTCGAGGCCTTTCTTGAGCACTCGCTGCCTCCCCGCAGCAGCAGCAGCACCTGCTGCAGCAGCAGCACCTGCAGCAGCAGCAGCAGCGTTTGCGAGTGGCGCAGCTTCAGCGAAGAGCACCCGGCTGCCTTTGCCCCTTCACCGGATGCTGCCGGAGAGGAGCAGCCGCAGCAGCAGCAGCAGCAGCAGCTGCAGCAGCAAGAGCAGCTGCAGCAGCAAGAGCAGCAGCAGCAGCAGCGGCTATCAGCGCTGGAGTTAAGTGCAGAGCAGAAAAGAAAGTCCTGGCATATGGTGGACCTCGTCAGCCGCAGCAGCACGCGCAGCAGCTGCTTCACGCGGAACTATGGGAGGAGCTGCCTGGCCCAGTACGGCAGCATTTTGCTGCTGGACAACCCAAGGCAGCTGCTGCTGCAGCAGCAGCAGCAGCAGCAGAAGCGCACTGTCGAGCTGCACGACCTCCTGCCCAGCAGCACGCGGTGCCGCTTCTTCTCTGTTAGGGAGCAGCTCAACCTCCACGGCTTCCCCTCTTGGTTCAGCATCGCAGCCCCGCTCAAAGATCAGCAGCAGCGGCAGCAGAAGCAGCAGCAGCAGCAGCCGCAGCAGCAGCAGCAGCTGTTTGAAGACAAGCTGCAGCACCGACGCATGATCGGCGACAGCCTCAACGTGTACCTCGTAGGAATGCTCATTGACTTCCTTATAGGCGACGACCCTCTCTAGCCACCAACCCAAACAACACAAAACTACTGGGGCCTCCGGGGGTTCTCGGGGCCCCCGGCGTTCTGGGGGCCCCCCAGGGCTATGGGGGCCCCCGGGGGCCCAGGGGGCCCCCCGGGGCTCTGGGAGCCCCCCGGGGCTCTGGGAGCCCCCCGGGGTTCAGGGGGCCCCCTGGGGCTCTACGGGGCTTTGGGGGGCCCCGAAGCTTCCAAGCCTGAAAGGAACCCCGTGGCCGGGGGGCCCCAGGGGGCCCTGCGAAGGGGCCCCCTTGGCGCTTGGGGGCCCCTAGAACGTTCCAGGGCTTAAGGGGGCCCCTTAGACGTTGAGGAGTCTCGGGGGCCCCCCAGTTGTGGGAGACTGCCTTAGAGAGGCGTTAAGAGACTGCAGGCCCCAACAATGCTCCAGGGGCCCCTGCTGCAGTACCCTGTGGCTGTTGCCGGGGCCCCAGGAGCGGCCCTGATTTGCTGCTGTAAGAAGCTCTGGCAAGCAGCTCTATAGATCAACTTGGGGTTTGCTAGGGGCCCCCAAAGGGGCCGTAAGCGTCCCTAGGGGGCCCCCTAAGGGCCCCCTGTGGGCCCAGAGGGGCCCCCTGTGACCCTCAGGGAGTAGCCTATGGGCTGGCTGGGGCTCTACGTCTGCAGCCGGCTGCAGCTAGGGAGCCCGCCGCCAGTAGGGGGGCCCCCAGCCCTTGTTTTGGGTTCGGGGGGCCCCACGGGGGGCCCCCAAGAGCGCCAGAGGGGCCTCAAGTAAAGTCCTTGTGACTCAGTGGGGCCCCTGTGGCCGCTCTTAAAGGTGGGGAGCCCCAGGAGCCCTCAGTGTGAGGGCTGTGGCTCGTTTGCCTTTAATGACAGAAGGCGCAGCAGCAGCAGCAGCAGCTGCTGCTGCTGCCTCTCCTGTCCGTTTGCTTCGTGCTATTATTTGTCTGTGTCGCTGCTTCTGTTGTTTTGCTCTATTCTCAGCCAGCTGCTTTTCATGTGAACTGTTGAATACACAGCAGCATATAAGTTCAGAGCCCCAGCGACTCCTCACCAAAGGGCCCCAGGGGGGCCCCCATCGGGCCTCCAGGGGGCCCAAGGGGGGACCCCATCGGGCCTCCAGGGGGCCCAAGGGGGGCCCCCATCGGGCCTCCAGGGGGCCTTGGGGGCCCTTTTCAGGACCCCAATGGACTTCGCAGTGTCCTACGTGGCCTCCAGGAAGCCCCAGAGGACTTGCTGGGACCTCTTGGGGGCTCTTTTGCTTGGGACATATTGCTGGACACTTCTAGACAGCAGCGCCAAAGTAGTTTTGCAGGCTGCTGCTGCAGTTAGGCTGCCCCTGCTGCTGTAGCCTCGTTGCTGCTGCTTTTATAGGAACATCTACCTTGTTAGGGGGAAGGGCTGGGGGTCGGTAGCGGCGCTGAAATAGGGAACGCGCTTGCGGCAGGCAGCAGCGGCTGCAGCAGCAACTGTTGCTGCAGCTCCTGCAGCGTAGAGCTGCATACACTTCCACATGGCAGCAGGACACAGAAAATGCAAACAATCAGACAAAAAGGAAGGCTCTTATTGGCGCTGCCCGCGCAGACTCCCGCTGCTGCTGCTGCTTATGTAGCGGCGGCAGCGCCGCAGCCCACAGAGACCCGGGTGGTCAACAAGGACAGCAGCAACAGCAGCGGCAAGAGCCGCTAGAGTTTGTTCTCGAGCTAAAGTATAATTTCTCACAGTATTTTTGCTGCAGCACGGAGGAAGGTGGGCAGCAGACACGAGAGCAACGTTTGCTGGGGAAACAGCTCCTGCTGCTGCCGATTGCTGCTGCCGCTGCTGCTGCTGCTAGCAACAGGAGCGCTGACCGTCGATTGGCCCTGAACCCTGCTGCTGCTGCTGCTGCTGCTGCCTCACTGCAAATGGGAGTTTCATTTATAGCAGATTTGACGCTGGGGGACAAACTGCTGGTGCTGCTGCTGTGTCTCATCCCTTTCGCTGTTTAGGCATGCAGCAGCAGCGACAACCGCAACAACGGCAGCAGCAGCTGCTGCGGCGCCGCTCTTGCAGGTCCGTTTTTAGAGCCTCCAATGAGTTAGTTTTAGATATTTTTAGCAGCACCTGAACAGTTGTTGCGTATAAAGGGCTCCAGGGCCTTTACATGCACCGGCTGCGGCAACAGCAGCAGCAGCAACAGAAACACGAGCAGCAGCAGCAGCACTGGACCAGCTGCAAACCCAGCTGCAGCCGCTCTGGGGGCAACACAGCGGCTTGTATGCGGAGAGGGCAGCAAGGGCGAACCAAGTGCTCTTGATTTCAGAGTGCAGTAGCGGCGGCAGCAGCAGCAGCTGCTGCTGCTGCTGCCGCCGCACGTACACCGGAAAGCCTGTGCGTGCGGAGCTTAGATGGATTCAGCGACCTCAAGGAAAGAAGCCCACAAACCAAGTAGAGCTGCAGCAGCAGCAGCAGCAGCAGCGGCAACAACGGCAGCAACTGTGGCTGGACGCACGAGTGAGGCTGCCTCCGCGGCAGCGGCAGCAGGGGTAGCAGCAGCAGCAGCAGTAGCAGGTCCACCAGTGGCAAAATGGGGCTTTTTACGTGGCTTTCCTCCACCCAGAAGCAGCAACAGAAGGAGCTGCAGGCCCTGCAGCAGCAAGCAACACGGGCCAATGCAGCAACCCGAGACGCTGAAGCTGCAGCGCAGCAAGTGAGCTATACCTCACAGCAGCAGCAGCAGCAGGCCTTCCGGCCAACGGAGAAGCTGCTACTCACCTCCATGGATATCTCTTGCTGCCGCCGCTGCCTCGCCTGCAGCCTTCGCTGATGCGGCAGCTAGTGCTGCAGCATTGCGGCAGCAGCAGCCGGATCTGCAGCTGTTTCCGGCAGGATCCCGCTTTCTACGCATTCTTCATTGAACTGCTGCTGGTGCTGCTCGCTTAGGCTGCCTAATGGCTGCAGCGGCAGCTCCAGTGGACATCTTCGCTGCTTAAAAATCCGGATTTGTTGCACTTCTTTCACTGTTGCTGCTGTTGCTGCTGCTGCTGCTGCTTTTGCTGCGTGTTGCAGGCTCTGGCAGCTACTACACCGCGGCCCTACGGAGCCAGCACAAGCCGCGATCGCGTAGCAGCAGCAGCAACAGCAGCAGCTGCAGCAGGCGCCGTTGCCTCCTCTTGCGAGGACTTGGGCAACGCACGTGCTGTTGCGCAGCAGCTGCTGCAGCAGCGGCTGCTGCAGCCCGCTGCAGGGTCGGACAGCAAGTTGCTGGCGCTGCTGCTGCTGCAGCAGCTGCTCGAAGCCTCTGGCTACTTCCGCATTATTGCTGCTGTCTTGCTCATAGCTGCTGCACAAGCTCCGGGGGTGCGCCGCAGCAGCAGCCGCAGCAGCAGCAGAAACAATGCCTCAGCTTTGTCAGCTTCGCTTTCGCTTCTTCAGTGGCTGCAGCAGTTCTCTGTCTTGATGCTGCTGCGGTCCCCCAATCCGCCGCCTCGGCGGAAGCAGCAGCAGCAGCAGCAGCAGCAGGCGCTAGCAGCTCAAACCCGCCTGCAGGTGCTGTTTCCCACGGGCACAACTGAAATGGAAATGCGTTGCTGCGGCATGCTTGCTGCGAGGTGTCTGTACACTGCAGCAGCAGCAGCAGCAGCAGCAGCAGACCCCCTCGGCGTGCAGCAGGAAATCAAAAGGTCCCTAGTGCTGCTGCAGAGCCTTGGCGTAGACAAGGCCCCCCCGTTGCCGGAAATGGAGGTCCAAGCCATGTGCGGCACTTCTGCGGAGGTGCTGCTGCAGCAGCAGCAGCAAATGCTCTTGCTGAGCAGCAGCCAGAACCCAAGCCATCAGCAGCAGCAGCAGCAGCAGCAACAGCAACAGGTTCCGCCAAATCTGACGGCCTCGACCTCGTCAGTCGAGATTCGCATTGCAGGTGCGTTCCTGCTGCGATTGCTGCTGCTTTTCGTGCTGCAGTTGCTGCTGCTGCGTGGCTGTTGCTGCTAAGTTGCTGCTGCCACACACCTACTGGTGCTTCATTATTCATATTTTGGAGCTGCATACGGCGCAGCGTATTGCTGCTGCTGCGTGGCAGCTACGAAGCCAAGTTTGAGCGCCGGCTTACCGCCGCAGCACCAGCAGCAGCAGGCCGCTGCAACAGCTGCTGTTTCGCTGCGGCAGCTTTTGCTGCACTTATGAATGTGTTTGTCTTGTTGCTTCCGTTGCTGCTGCGTCTGAGCTTGCTGCTGGTCAAATGACGTCCGGAGCTCCATGCTTTGCTTCTGCTGCTGCTCTTGCGCTAGAGGTAATGTCGAGCCTGGAGCTCCTGCAGGAGCTTCTGCAGCAGCCAACTGCTGAGGGGCTGTCAATGCTAGACTCCCTGAAGGAAGGGTTGCAGCAGCAGCAGCAGCAGCTGCAGCGGGACGCAACACAGCTTGTAGATGAGGGACGTCTCGACCGTTTTGCAGACGTTTCAAGGGTATGCTTGATTGCTGCTAATCTATAGCTGCTATTGCTGCTGCTGTTGCAGCTGCGGTCTTTGCTGCTGCCGCACCTCCAGTGGTGCGGCGAGTGCTGCTGCACCCCAGGCGAGTGACGTGGGTGTTTGTTGCCTCGATTTGCGGCTTCTGCTACTGGCTCTTGCGCTTACGGGCTAGGAATGGTCTAGGAAAAGGGCAGCAGCAGCGCGTTGTGCCATTGCTGCTGCTGCTGCTGCAGCAAGTGCTTCGTGTCTGCTTGAAGCAAAAGTACTGCTGCTGCTGTTGGGGTATCTCTGCAGCTCCTGGACACCGTGGAGGCGACTCTACAAAATTTGGAAGCTACACGTGCCCATCTTAACCAGGAGACTCAGCAGCAGCAACATCAGCAGCAGCAGCATCAACATGGGGAGCAGCAACACGACCAGCAGCAGCAGGGACAGCAGCGCCAAGAGCAGCAGCCGCACGAACAACAGCAGCAAGAGCAGCAGCGACAGCTGGACTGGAACGAGCGGAAGCATGACAATGAAACAAACAGTATAGCAGACGCAGCAGCAGCAGCAGCAGCTGCAGCAGCAGCAGTAGCAGCAGCAACAGCAGCAACAGCAGCAACAGCAGAAGAAGACCAAGGGCTTTCTGAAGCCGCTTTAACAACAGAGGGACCCACGAGCAGCACAGATGTACGCACTCCAATGATTTCTGAGCAAGCAGATTTGGCGTCTCCTGCTGCGGCACCTGCTGCAGCAGCTGCTGTTGCTGCCGTTGCTGTTCCAAGCGCAGCAGCAGACGAGCTCATGCTTTTTGCAATCGCTGACGAGCCCTTTGACGCGACGCAGCAGCAACTCCAACAGCAGCCGCAGAAGCAGCAACAGGAGCAGCAGCGAAAGGGGGAAGAGAACCAGGGGGTTGGAACTTCTGCTGGTGAGCTGAACACGCACAGCAGCAACAGCAGCAAGAGTCCGACAAGCAAGCGCAGCAGCAGCAGCCGCAGCAGCCGCAGCAGCCGCAAAGAGAAGCGCAGCAGCAGCAGGAGCCACAGCAGAGACTCGAAAGCTGTTGAAGAAGCGTCCTTCACGATCGATACAGGTATAACGTTTCCGGACACGACAGCAGCAACAACTACAGCAACTGGAACAACAGCAGCAGCAGCAGGGAACGAACCAGCAGCTGGCAGCACCGCGGGGGGCGTGAACTCGGGTGCAAGCCCTGAGGATGAAACAGGTGCGGCAGTGTTGCAGGCGGATTCGGCTGCTGCTGCTGCTGCATCTGCTGCTGCTCCAGCTGCTGCTGTTGCGGGCGCGCCGGACACGCCTCAGGGCTGGGGAACTTCGTTGGAAGTGGCCGAATTTTCAGGTCAGGCAGAGGGCTTGCGAGAGGCTCTCGGGCCTGCTGCTGCTAGTGCTGCAGCACGCAGCAGCTGGGATTCTCTGGAAGGCGTAGGCGCTACTAGAGTGCAGCAAGAGCAGCAGCAGGTGCAGCAGCAGCAGCGGCAGCAGCAGCGGCAACAGCAGCAAGAGCAGCAGCAGGGGCGGCACCAAGCGGAAAAGAGACGCAGCAGCGCAGCTACAAGCTTCGAGGACTTCGGGGCATTCTCCTCCGCCCTATCCGACAGTGGCTCCGACTTGTCCCCGCGAGATAGGCAGCAGCAGCGGCAGCAGCAGCAGCAGCAAAGAGCTACCCAGCTGCAACAACAGGACAGCAGCAGCAGCCAGCAGAACAGCTTTGAACAGCCCACGTGGCCTTCCCCTGCTGCTTGGTGGCCCCCAGAGCCCATTTCTAGCGGCCGATTTGTTTGGGATGACCCGGCGGACAAGCAAAAACAGCAGCAGCAGCAGCAGGAGCAACAGCAGCAACCAAAGAAAGAGCAGCAGAAGCAGCCTACTGAGCCACAGCATTCTTACGAGCATCCTCCAGCCTACAGGCCCATGGCGAGCCCTCCAGAGAAAGTGAGCCAGTCGGCAGTTGCTGCATCTGGTGCTGCTGCTGTTTGTTGCTTCTCTAGGCTTTTGGGGTGGCTGCTTCTTGTTGCTGCTAGTTGGTTGCTGCTGCTGCTACTGCTTAGCCTTTGAACCGTGCTGCTTGCGCCGCTGCTAGGCGTGTTTTGCTGCTGTTGCTGCTTATCTCTTCGCTGCTGCTGCTCCTGCTGCTGCTTTTCTGCTGCAGAAGGTTTCTTTCTTGGACTCTTCACCAAGAGAGACAGATGACTCAGATTCTGGGTCTGTGGCTGCTGCCTGCGGCAGCCTGCAGCAGCAGCAGAAGCAAGAGTGGCAGCAAAAAGTGGGCGCTGCTGAAAAGCACTCAGTCGGAGAAGCAGCAGAAGCAAGTAGCAGCAACGAGGAAGAGCAGCGACGGTCTGCTGCTGAGTGGAGCGCGGAGGTGGCGCTGCTGCGGCAGCAGCGACGGCAGTTGCAACAGCAGCTAGCTGCTGTTGAAGCCGATGCAGCACGAACGGAGGCATCTCTTTCAGCCAGCGAGCAACAGCAGGAGATGTTGAGGGAGCAGCTGGAGGAGCAGCAGCAGGAGCTGCAGAAGCTGCAGCAGGACCTAAAGGCCAGCCGAGCAGCGCAAAAGGCAGCAGAGGAGGCGCTGCAGACGACGCAGCTGCTGCTGCAGCAAAGATCCTCAGCGGCAGAAATGGCGAAAGAGATGTGGCTGAAGGAGAGCGAGAGGGCGTCGAAGCTTGCAGATGACCTAGACAGTATGGCGGAGCTGCTGCTGCTGCTGCTGTTTTGGTTGCTGCTGCTGTTGGTTTCGCCGCTGCTGTTGACTTTGCTGCAGCTCTTTTGTCGTTCTTTGGTGCTGGTGCTGCTGTTGTAGATGCTGCTGGTGGTGCTGCTGCTGGTAGAGCCTCTTTGCTGCAGACCTTGCGGCTGTTGCTGCTTGACCTGCTGTTGCTGTTTTGCGTGCTCTATATTGGCTGCTGCTGCTGAGGGCTGTTGCTGCTGCTGCAGTTGCCGAGAGGACCATCGCGCTCCACGAGGAGGCGATCTTGGGCAGCAATGCGGAGCAACGGCGACTGCAGCAGGAGCTGCATGGCCTGCAGCGGCTGCTTTTCACGACACCTGCTGCAGTACAAGTAGCAGCAACAGCGCGGCCTGCAGCTCTTGGGGGCCGCGCTGACGGACACAAGTCTAAAGCAGCAGCAGCAGCAGACAGGGCTCTCTCTCCTGGGCGCTGCAGCACCGCAAGTTCTTTGCCGGTCGGGCTGGCGGGTGAGTTGCACCGGGGAGTTCGCAGCAACGGGAGGCAGCTGCAGCGGCAGCAGCAGCAACAGGATCACCTGTTCAGCAGCAGTGCTTGTGTAGAGTCCGTCACGGACACAATAGAAGAGCCCCTTGCAGCTGGAGAGTCGGCGGCCTGGCGCTTCGCCGTAGGTTGCTTTGCTGCTATTGCTGTTGCTGCTGCTCGTGGTGGAACTGCTGCTGCGCTGCCATTCTTGTTGTCTCTATTGCTTTTTCTGCTGCTGTGCTACTTGGTGGCTGGAGTTAGTAGATTGTTCATTATGTGGTTGCTGCTGTTGCTGCTGCAGCAACGCGGACTTGGAGCGGATTCGTCGGAAATGGCGGCAGCAGGAGTTGCTACTGCAGCGGCGCCGGAAGAGTCTTTGTGTCCCATGCCGCATGTTGCTGCAGCGAGGTCTATGGACACCGGCTTTCTGCCGCTGCTGCTAACAGACAGTGGGGTGCTTTTAGAGGACGAGACGCTGCAGGTACCTTTGTTGCTTGCGCTAAACTTTTTGGTGCTGCGAATGCTGTTAGCTTTTTCTTCTCGAGGGTCTCTGCTGCTGCGTGTTTGCTGCAGGGCGTAGACCCTGCAGCTGTAGCGAAGTATCATTTGAGGGTTGCTGCTGGTGCATCTGCATGCGGTTTGTGCTTTGATCTTTGCCTCAGATTGGAGTGCAGAAGACAATAAAGGGCCTCTCAGGCCGCATAAGCATTTACTTCGGCAACAAGAGGAGCAGCATGCTGCAGCAGTTCTGTTGTGAATTGCTGCTGCCAGCAAGTGGCGGGTTGCTGCTGGAGCCAGAGGACCCCCAGCGGCAGCTGCAGTACCTCAAGGGCAGGGAACAGGTGGCCCATGTAAGCGCGACAGTTGCAGCACCAACTTCAGCAGTGCTGCTGCTGCTGCTGCTGCAGGGGTGTCGCTGGCGCTGCTGGCATAGCTGTGTGTCTTCCAACTTGTGCTGCTACTGCAGTGGCTCTACCGACGCTGCTGGTGTAGCCGCGACATTGGGTGCCTTCCGATTTTTTCTGCTGCTGCATTATCTTTGTTGTTGCTGCTGCTGTTGCCGTGTGTTTCCGCAGCATTTGCTGCTGCAGTGCGTGGAGCCCTTCGACTACTGCCCAATGATGCGCGTCTCTTTCTTGTAGGCCGCAGACCAGCCGAGCAGTCCACTTAGCGCAATTTGTGCTTTCTGCTTCTTGCTCCTTGCCTGCCTTTTTCTCTATGAATTGGTTCTTCGTTTATTCCCCTACTGATTTGTTTAGTTGAAACACATTGCGCCTGCGTGTGCACTTTGTCCTTCCGTATATCCACCGGCTCATCGTTTGCTCGTTGTTCTCTTGGTTGTTGTTCGCTGCATGCATTTGATTCTTCCTCATTGTGGGATTAAATGGCCTGCATCTGCGTGCGTGCTGCTGTTGCCGTATGCGTCTTCGCATTTGTGAGGCTGTGGCTTTCAGTGTAGTGTCCACGTCTGGGCTCCCACAGTGCATTTGCGCATGCGCGTTTGTGAAGAGCTTATTTGTCGATTTTCGACTTGTGAAGTTGACTCTATTTCCAAATGAGGGTTTCTGCTTCTATGGATTTGACAGCTTTGCAGTCATCATTTGTTTTTTGCATACCTTTCCTTGTGTATTTCGCGTTTCCCGATGCCTTGGTTGCTGCGCCGCTGCTCGTTCGTTTGTGATGCGCCTGTCCAGTTGTTCCAGTGGCAACTTTTTGACTGGGGAAAGATGAAGTTTGGTTGCTTTTTGCCAGTAGTCAATGTCAGGTGTTGATTTGCTGCTGATGGCTCAGTAGTCTGCTGCACGCTTCTGACTGGCGACTCCGCTGCGTTCTCAGGATGCCCGATGCCACACCCTGGAGGCGCGAGGTATTTATTCCTCTGTCTTTGTCGCGGTTCGTCGAGGGCCATCAAATGGGCGCAGATGACTTCTACCAGCTTTGGAATTTGCAGCACTTCGCATTGAACGAAAGTAAGGTTGCTGCTGGTTTCGTAGAAATCCGCAGCGGCAGCAGAGGCAACGAGTGGTCGTAGCAGCAATCCACATTGCCGATAGGCATTTCTTGTTCTAATCAACATATTAGAAATGCAACAGTGGTTGCATTTGTCGTCACGCCTTGTAGGAGCAACTAAAAGTGGAAGCGGAACAAATCAGGCCAAGGCGCCGCTTCGTGATCTGCACCGAGTCCATAATGATTTCATATACAGTAGTGTTTACAGAAGATTCTGCATAGCAGCAATATTGGATAGTTAGACACATGTATTCGAAACCAGGCTACGCAAGCGAAGTTGCAATTTGCCGTTTTCCTCTCTTTCTCTGCAGCTGCGTGTGTGCTCAACCTCCACCCCCAACTCCAGGGTTCAATGCTATCGCTCGTGCGGCGCCTGCAGCTAGTGAGCCACCGGCAGCAAGGCAGCAGGAGCTGCTGCTACTGCTGTTCTTGATGCTGCTGCAGTTGCGGTTACATGTGGTTGGGCTGAGATGCAGCGGTTTGCGCCGTGCGCTGGACGGTGTCTGGAGGTTTTTCTGCGTTTCTGCTGCTGCTTTTGCTGCTGCTGCACCTGTCACTGCTGTTGCTGTTTGTGCTGCTCAGGGCGGTGCTCTAGCTCTCTGTGCTGCAGCGGGCGAGAGCCACGCACAGACTCTGGCTGTGGCTGGCAGCATGCAGCGGCCTTCAGGAAACGTTTTGCCGCAGCAGCAGAATGAGCAGCAGCAGCAGCAGCAACAGGAAGAGCAACAGACACGACCTGTCGTTCGTCTCGTTGTTTTGGCCCGGTGTGTCACTTGTTGTTGTTTCACGTAGTTTGCTGTGTAGAGCTGCGTACGCCCTCCTGTAGCTTCGCACAGAAGGCGCACTTGCTGCTGCTGCTGCTGCTCTCTCTGCAGGCTAGAGCTGGGGTCGGGCCAGCAGCAGGGCCGCGCCCGTCTGGTGGTGCGGGCGAGCGACGGCGTGCTGAGCTCGGCCATTCGGTCTGAGGTGTATGCACAGCTGGCGAGGGCCCCAATAGCGTCTTGATGCACAAGATAGGTAGATGGGGCAAAGTCCTGTTATGAATTTAATTAGATTGTGATAGCTGTTGTTGCTGCTGAGGAAACGTGCAGCAGCAGCAGCAGCCTAATAGCTTTAACGCCAGGAGCAGCAGTAGCAGCAGCAAAAGCAGCAGCGTCTGCTGCCTTTTTTCTGCTTCAGTAGTAGCAGCACCATCTGCTACTGCTGCAGTGGTGTATTTGTCCTGCAGCAGCAGGGACGGCCGCTGCTGCAGGTTGCTGTGGCACAGCCGAGATTTCCGTGCCGAACCCTTGTTGGGGCGGCGCGCTTTTTTCTGTTTCGAATGCAGCAGCCAAGCTGCAGCAGCAGCAGCAACAGCTGCACCAACAAATTGTTGGTAGCATGTACAGGGTGGTGGTTTTTTTCTGTGGTGGCTGCTGGTGAGCGCTTCATACGCACTTTGAGGTGTACGTACACAATAATAAAAAGCCTAAGATTGCAGAAATTCGCAACATCAGGCAGGAGCATTAGATTTGGTTTCTGTAGACACGAAATCCTTAGCCCCAAATCGCGAGACCTTACTTCAAGCAGTAATCCTACATACTTGAAAGCTTCCTGCTGGCAGAGCCCCGGAGGCCCCCGCTTTGCTAGAGCTTCTCAATTTGAATCTTCATGCATATTTATGTCGAAGCATGCTTGTGAATGTACGCAATGCATGCATTTGTGTGCGTAAATGCATGCGAAGGGGGTGGGGATTAGGCCATAATTTAGATTTCTACGAGGCCTTTGGCGCTGTGGCACTCAGCGTGGGTGGAACAGAGAAAAAAAGTAAAGTAGAACCCAAGTCCGCAGCAGCTAGAGCCTGTGGCGATCGAAGCAAAGGTCGCAGCCGAAGCAAGGCAGCAGTCATGCGGCGCCGCGTGAGCACTCCAGCGTTTAGCTGAGACCCTAGGGATCAATTTTAAACGCCTTAACTCATTTGATATGCCTTAAGAACAGTTGTATACAGAAAGGAGAAGATCGAACATTCAGAGCCACAGTCGGGGTCAGCGTGGTCCTGGAATTGTGGAGCTGTTGCCCTTTTAGGTCTATGGGCTGGTGCCTTCGAAAGTTCTGCTGCTTCACGAGCCAGTTTCTGAAGCGCAGTTTCTCGCCAACGCCGGCTCACGAGACAGGCAAATGTTGAGCCCCTCTAAGTGCCTTTTTGAAACTGTTGACTCAAATTCCCGTGGCCTCTGTCGCAGGGTGGATAGGGCTCCATTCCTCAGAGGCCCAGACATGCAATTGTGAGATCTCTAGCCATTATAGGTTATTTTAGGTACTTTAGGCATTCTTTATTTATGCTGCACTGGCTCTGGCTGCTAGATCTGTAGTTAGCCCACATGCTTAACTGGACACTGGGGACGCTGACTCAGGGGCCACACTTCGTTGAGCTCGGGCGGAGATGCCCTGATATGGTGGGAAAAATTTCTAACCTTTTGGCTTGCTGCTGAAGGCAGGACTAAGGGGTGTAGAAACAAATTTCGCGCATGGAAGGATATTTGTACAAATTAACACATTGCTCCGACCATATATCCATGTACACGTGTCTTGCACGTGTCGTTAGTACACATATTGTAATTTGATGGCTCATCAAGATGCATTTTGCTGTATGCAAGTTGTGCGTTTGCGCTCGCACAAACGGTGCCGCTGCTGCTGCTGCTGCGGCGGCGGCGGTAGCTGCTGCACACGGTTCGATTCGGATTGCGCTCCACCGTCTGGCTGTTTCCACCACTCCGCTTCTTCTACTTTATTAATTAGTTACTTCAATCAATTCAATAGATTAAATTGAAAGAATAGGCGGTATTGAGCAACTGTTTGTCTTTCACTGCTCGCGTCTTCACCCAATGACTCTCCGCCACGGCTTTGCGGCCCTTCGACAGCCGCTGCACTCTTTATCCGGCAAAATAGATAAAATATATCAGCTGAATCCCAGAATTCCATCTTCATGCAGTCGACGCTCTGGTAGTTCTGCTTTTCGCTTCCACCAAGCAGAAGGGGGCCTCTTGGAGGGCCCCCCAGGGGGCCCCTCAAATCTCTCTTGCGGCGGGCGCTGCCTCAGCACGTCGACAGCGAGTTCAGCTCTTCCTGAAATAACTCCTGCAATTGTGGGCTCATTGCTTGTCAAGGACCCTAATGAGCCGTTGCCTGTGGCTGCTGAGACTGCAAGTAGCAGCAGGAGCAGCAGCACGAGCAGCAGCACGAGCACAAGCAGCGGCAGCGGAAGCGGCAGCAGCGAGCGGTGTGGGGGACCTGAGCCGTACGTAACAGTGTATGAGCCCAGCACTGGGGAGGCCATAGCTCGCACTCCAAATTTGGGGAGTGCTTGGGTTTCAGCCGCTGTTGCTGTTGCTGCTGCAGCGCAGCGTGATTGGGCGCGCAGCAGCGTGCTGGCCCGCAGTACTTTGCTGCTGCAGTGGTTCAAGCTGGTGGAAGAGCGCAAGGAGGCCTTGGCTGCACTCATAACAGCAGAAGCAGGAAAGCCTGTTCCTGAGGGACGTCAAGAGGCCGTTTATGGGGCCTCCTACGTGCGCTGGGCTGCTGAGGCTGCGCGGCAGCACAATGGATTGACTATTCCTGCTGCTGCTGGCAGCAGCAAACTGCAGTTTACTGTCAAGGAACCCCTGGGGGTGTGCGCCCTTATCACCCCTTTCAACTTCCCTCTTGCCATGGCTGCTCGCAAAGCAGCAGCAGCACTAGCAGCAGGAAACGCCTGTCTGCTGCGCCCCTCTGAAGAGGCCCCGCTGTCGGCGTTGGCCTTGGCAGCAGCAGCAAGGGAGGCGGGCCTCCCCCCCGGGCTGCTGAATGTGCTGCCGTCGTGCCGTGCGGGTGCTGCTGCGTTTGCTGCTGCTGTTGCTGCAGCGCCGCAGGTGCGGCTGCTGTCCTTTACGGGCTCCACCGCTGTGGGGCGCCAGCTATACAGACAGTGTGCAGACACTGTGAAACGGCTGCAGCTCGAGCTCGGGGGAAATGCCCCATTTGTTGTTTTTGCTGATGCTGATATAAACGAGGCAGTCTTGGGGCTGCTGGCTTCGAAGCTGCGCTGCTCGGGCCAGGCTTGCATCAGCCCCAATCGCGTGTACGTACACCGCAGCGTCTTCGCCGAATTCACGAGAAAGGCCACGAAGCTTTTCAAAGACCAAACAGTAGGGGACCCCAAGACCCACGGGGTGGCTGTGGGGCCTCTCATCAACCACGCCGCGGTGGACCGCGCGGAACAGCTGGTCAAGGATGCTCTAGAGAAGGGGGCTAAGCTGCTGCTGGGCGGCAGCAGGCTGGAGGCCCCCAGGGGAGCGGCGCCCTCAAAGGCCCGCGGGGCCCCGGGGGCCCCCCAGGGCCCAGGGCCCAAGGGTCCCTGGGCCGCTGGCGGCAGCTTTTTTGAAGTGACAGTCCTAGACTGCCGCGAGATGGCAGCGGACGCTCGCGTGCTGCGGGAGGAGTTGTTTGGCCCGATTGTGTGTCTGTACGAGTTTGAGACTGAAGAAGAAGCAGCAGCAAAGTGCAACGACTCGGAAGCTGGGCTTGCTGCTTACTTTTACACACAAAGTGCGGGCAGGGCTGTGCGCTTCGCTCAGCTGCTGCAGTGCGGAATGGTGGGGGTCAACACCGGGACCCTCTCCTCCTGCGAAGTGCCCTTTGGGGGAATCAAGGCTTCGGGGATGGGCCGAGAGGGCTCTGCTTTGGCCCTAGACGATTACACGAGCACCAAGTTTGTAGCAATTCAGACGGGCCTGTAGCCATTTCTAGAGGCCAAGCCCTTTTGCCGTGGGCTTGGGAATTGTCCCTAGAGCGTAGCAGACTAACTCCGCTCAGGCCTAGGTTTTAGGGTTTTGTTAAGTGGGAATCTGCCACTAGGCGTAGGGGTAGTGCCAGTCCGACTCCCAGCTCTCCTGGCTCGAAGTTTTGAGAAGGGCCAGAACCCCTCAACATTAAGAAATAAGCCCTTAAGAGGGAAACTTCTTGTTCTTAACGGTTTGCCGAGAAGCATCGTAGGGCGCCGAAGGGTCTCTCTACCGTGTATATATCTGGTGCACCTGACGGCTTTTGACGTTTTCCGGCTTTCCCCAGCTGTTCATTTATCAAACTTCGGCTGTAGCCTAGACAGAAAAGCCTTTTGTATATTTGTAAGAGGGAATACTGAAGGCCTTAACAGCTCTTCGAAGTGAGTTCGCTTCGCTGCTGTGGCACTTTACCATGTAAAGAATAAATTAGCATGGAGGAGAGCTCAAAGGCCCCTTTTTGCTGGGATACAAGTGCAGCTTGTGTCGGGTAATTGGAAGAGGGGTCATTGTCTCTTTCTCTTCAGTCAACTTGTTTCTGCAGAGTTGCTGGTGCCCGTACAATAGGGCTGCTCTGCGCGTCTACCCACATACTGCACTCTTTCATTTACATGAGAGTATCTACACTTCTTAACCAAGGAGTTTTAGTTTTAGCGGTTTTGTGAAGCCTGGATACAAGTAGATGGGTATCAAATCCCGCCACACATTTTCTTTCCGAGACGGCTACTTAAATGGGCCAGCTGTGGCTGGCCACGACTACTTTGCTCAGAATTCCGAAAGCAAAGTAATTGTCTACAATTCAGGGTAAGGCAATCCGTGTCTACAGTTTAGTGTCCAGTCCAGCTTGCAGGTCCTATAGCTCAGTTGGTTAGAGCATTCGGCTAATAACCGAAAGGTCGCCGGTTCGAGACCGGTTGGGACCAGGGGTGGCTTTTTGTGCCAATTAAAGGGACCTTTTCCAGGTAAAATGCCCTTTTGTTCTCTCCTGAAGACAGATTATGTGAAGTGCTGATGTTTACTTTAGGAGCTGCTGTTTACTAGCCAGCTTTGGAGGATGGCACAGGAAGAGGCTCCTTACCGGGTTCGATACTCGGCATATGGTTTCATTTAAATGCCCTCAGCATCGTCTGCACATTTGACTAGGACAATCCACAAAGCTCGGCGAGAAATGATTCAAATTCAAACCGCTAAGTCGCCCCAGTTTTCAGCTTTTGTCGTGGCGTGTTCCCTAGACCGCTTGTTCATGATAGGAAGCCCTCGAATGCTTTCAGAAGCTTGTGAACTGCCAGAACACTCCTCCTAAAGCTTTCACTACTCCTTACCGTTTTAGGGGAATTATCTCTGTCTAGTTCCCTAGAGCTGCTGAAACCTACCAAGCGTACCGCAAATCTCCCCCTTTGTATTCTCTCGTCGCGCTTTCACGGAAGCTTAAACAGCTACGCTTGCGCTCTGAAGGTCAAAAATTAGGACAAAAGGTTTCTTTAATTAAAAAGTTGAACGACATGTAAGCTCTCCCAGCGCTACGTTTACGAGAGGCAAACACTCCGAGGCCAGGACGCAACGCTCTTATTTGAGGTGCCCAAATTAAAAAGGACACATGAGTGACTCCAAACTGCAGTGTGCTCGAAGCAAGCGATCCTACGTTGCACTGCATGTGCTAGCGTACGCTCTAGCACATAAAATCCAAAATGAAAGACGCTGAACTTCATGATTGCTTACGACGCTAGGCTTAGCAAGACCGGTAAGGAAAGAAAAAAGTAAAGGCAAGACGGAAAGAGACAACGGACTAATACAAGCTGGAGCAGATGCGAGGGAAACAGAAGGAGGTACAGTGGAGGAGCTGGTGGAGCAAGACCAAGTAAAGACCAACTATTGGAGGTACGGTGAGCACCAGGGTTTCATGGTTGCGCGTAGTAAATCACGAGGTCGTCAATTTCTGCAGCGAATTCCCGAAGTTTGTCTTCACCTATTTTGCTGTTCAGGCATCTCGCTATTGGAGCTCCTGTCTTTGCTTGGTATGCCTAAAGACGACAATGCGAATAACGCTCTCCGTTGCGTTTGTCCCCATTTCGTGGCTTTTCCTTGCACATTGTGCTGCTGCGCGTCCTCTCCACCTCAATCACGCCTTTCCTTTGCCTTCTCGTCATTTACAGTGCGACGCCTATTTACGGCTTACCCAATTAATTGCTCTAGGCAAATCGTGTGACGATATTAGAAAGGTACGCGAACAGTCAATTGACCGGCTACGAATATCTCGCCACGCCAGAACTGCTTCCTGCAGCAGCACAAAATGACAGAATGAAGCACAAAAGAGGAACGCCCAGCAGAAGATGCCAACGCAAAAACCAAAGAAGAACTTGAAATGCCATAAGAATGCATGTCCAGCGTGAACTAGTCAACCAAACGCTCGCGTATCTGGTTGTGAGCGCAGACGGAAAATGGTGCTAAATATAATTCATTCAATTCTCTTTGGTCTGCCGTGCACCTCTAGCACCACATTGCATACTGTGTGTCTAACTTTGTTTATCACTGTGTGCCTCTTTGCCACTTTCTGTGTCCGTGTGCGTGTTCTCTCATTCTGTTATTGCGCCTTTGCCTCTACCCATATTATCCCCAGCAACGGGACGGTGCTCTTTATCCTGCGTGTGTCGCTGCTCTTGTAGGCCTTTTCCGCTGCCGCTCTACTTCGTTTACTATTGTGTTGTGAAGGTTACCGCGAGTGCGCGTTTATTGCCGGTTGGTCTGCGTAGTTGCGGGGCCCGAAGGATCTTTTCCAAGTCTTTGTGTTTGGGAAACGTGAATGGTTTACACAGCATAGCTTTCACTTCCTTCTCGTACGCATGCACCTGAGCAGCAAGCAGCAGCACAAGCAGCATAATAGGCATCTGCAGCAGTTGTAGCAAAAACGGCAGAAAAAGTATCAGCAGCGGCAGCAGCACTCCTAGCCATAGTAGTGGTTGCAACGCTTGTCTGGAACGGGCCGACACTCCCTGTAGTCAGCAAAACTGCAGCAGCAGCAGCAGCAGCAGTAACCGCAGTAGCTGTAGCAACAAGAATTTCACTTAAAAGGAAACCACCAGAGCCACAGTAGAAGAAAGCGAGTCGGCTTGCTGGAGAGACACAAAACTAAAGTTGAGCGAAGGCAAAAATAGTAATTAACAAGAAAATCAACACTAGGAGGCCAAACCAAAGCTTCAGGGAGCCTGAACCGCAAAGCAAAGGGAAATTCCAGAAAAAGACGATTGTCTAAAGCCAGAGAAGAATGAAGCGAACACAAAGAGAAAAAAACCATTTCAGCACGCCTCCCATCAAGTACTAATTGCAATAAAAGAATAAAAGAGCAAGGCAATACAGTGAACAAGCGAACACAGGGCACTCGGAGATACACGCACATACATGCAGGCACGTGAATAAACACATAAAAATGCAGATTTAGTGCAAATAGACAAACTGTCAAGCAGACAACGCCAGTGTGAACAAAGAAGAAAAGACCCACTGGCAGCTACTGAGCATGCGCATGTGCGCCGTGACAGACCTACAAGCTAACAGACATACACAGTTCGGGAATCAGGCGAAAAGCCAAAAAACAGGTAGCACGCTCTCACTTGCACACAGTAAAAACGGCAGGCAGGCAAATGTACAAGCCGGGGCCCGAGCAGGGATATAAGCAACGAGCCGGCCACATTGAGAGACATATGCTAAGGAAAACAAAAAGGAAACGGCAAACGCAGCCAAAAGAGCAGCCAGAAAATTTTGCAGAAAAGGATGAGAGCAGAGAAGCGGAGGAGCACAAAGAAACATGCACACGGAATGCGGCAGAAGAAAGTAGAAAAGAAGCGAAAGAGACGAAAAGAATCACCAATCACAGCACTAAAGGCAAGAATCGATTACAAAAGTATGAGCCTACAGGGAAGCCATGTCATGCTTATAATCAAAAATGACCATAGCACTGACAGAAATAGTCCTGTCAACGTTGCTGCTGCTTTTGCTGCTGATGCTGCAGCCGCTGCTGCCTTTGTTCGCCGCGTCATCGTTCATTACCTGCCGATTCGTTTTGCGTATCTGTAGTAGAGGTGCAACAAGTAACGAACGTCATTTACAGCATACTGCAACATGCCCCAGGTGAGGGGCCTAAAATTCAAACGAAGCAGCAATAGAAACAAATAATAAAAGATGGAAGTATTAACGGGCAAATCGTTTCGACAGAGGGTTCAGAAGCGCCACGCGCAACGGTAAACCCTAATCCTAAGCTCTGCGCGTCAAATACAAAATCCGACGTTTAGATCTACCTCGCCTAGCCTGGATCCGTTTACCTAAGATTATCTACCCAAACGCCCAGGGCTCGGGAAATGAGGCTTTGGGGCTCGGTTCTGGAGGCTAGGGTTCAGCATCTTATGTTGTTTCACCTGTTCGACCAGTCGCAAGTTTTGTAGCATTCTTCTTTGTGCTCATTGAATTCCAGTGCCAAAACGTTCTTCAGGGAGGTGCCGCCCGCAATGTGAAGGAACTTTGCCGCCTTTCCAGTGTCAAAGGCATTTATTATGTAGACGTTGAAGTCCCGCTGCGGGCAACAGTGCCTACACGTCTGTACAAGTTTCTGTTTCTGTCTTCGTTACGTTTCGTCTGGAATTGCCCAGTTGCTCCCGTCTGGAGGATGTCTTTGTACTGGCTTATGTCTTCAGTCCTGCTCTGTTGCCTGTTTTAGGTTCTTTCTCTCCTTGCGATTTCGTCACCTGTAGCCACGTGATGTCGTTGTCGCCGTTGTGCAGCACCTTTACAATAGACGGGTCCGCCGTGACTTTATTTAGAATAAATAGTTTTTCGAAAACATTTAGGCTGTCAATTATATAAATATGTGTCGCCGTGCACACTTGAACCAAACAGGTAAACCCTCGGTAACTGGCGTGGGAGTGGTGCTCCACGTCAATGGCCACCGCACTGCTCTTCCCTGCAAACAA